GATCACCCTTTGGCTGTTTGGCTCCACAAGTGGTTTTATGGCAGGCCTATCGAAGTTGAAGAAGTTGTGGACATCAACTTTTTAGGTTTTGACATTTACCCACACAAACGGCAAGTCAAATTTATTGATGTTGACAAGCCGTGGAAAGTCAGGAGTCCAGCCAATGCAGGAACAAACAACCTCACACTTTCAGGATTTCGCAGCAGAGCACACTTGATTGTCAACTATTCTTTTCCAAAGGAATTGATTCCAGGAAGTTTGAGCGCCCTTCTTGATTTGTATCACAAAGCTGGCTTTTCATTTTCCATTTTGCAAGACACTTTGCCAAAAACGGCATACGGGCATCTCCCAAGAGAAAAGCCGCTGCCCGTCATAGCTACGGGCGTGTGTGTGCGCGGAACCCTGTTAGCCAAGGGAATGCATGTCCTGTTCTTACCTTTCCTTGTTCCCTCTTTCACCTCTGGTTTCATGTCATCATCATCCATTTCGCGCAAAGAAACAAAGAGATACAAGAGAAGCAGTCGGTGCCCACTCTGCTGGGCTTGGGCATCCTGATGAGGAAACCCAGCAGAGCATCCGAAACTGCAAAGAGACAGAGACAGATTTCTTTCATTTTCATCCCTGCGTCAGTTTAACTGGCCAGCGCGACAAAACTCCGGCTATGCATAAAGAACTCCAAAAGATCTGCGATTGGATCAGGATGTTCGCATAAGACTGGGGGCCGCTCAGCGGTAACACTACAAGTGTGTGTTTTTTTTTGCCGTTATAGCAATCAGTTTAATTTTGATGAATCGATCATGTTTCGATGAAGCAGGGGGTGCCAGAGGTTTGAGTGAAGCTGGCACCAAGGAAGACCTTCACTCTTTCCTGTGATATGAAAACGGGACGCCGTTTTCACGTACCTGCTGGAACGGTTGAACAAGCTTTTCTCCTCAGGTTGTTTAGGTATATTCCGACAGGTTGGATTTTCGATCTCCCAGAATTCATCTTTTGGAATGCGACGACCTCACGGTGTTTCAGTGTGCTTGCGATGGAAGGCAACTCAGGACATTAGGCGGCGACGGTGACATCATTCACAATTCCACTAACCATTACCCCACAGTGTGTCATGGGTGTTGGACTTGACTTGGTCACACCGTCGGTTGGTTACGACCAACCAGAAAGTGATGAGCGGGCATTTTCCCGTATGTAGAATGGAGAATGGATCTCCGAAGCCGTACGCACTCAGAGTGCATTTCAAGCGTCATGTGACGAAGTCAAGATTTTACACAGTAAAATCTAATCGCAGTAGCCATAAGGTGAAGAAGCCATAGGGCAGAAGTTTAGTCCAGTTTGGGCAAAGTAGACAGAAGTCGAAGTTATCAGCACTATGAGTGCAATGAGAGTTCAGTTTGGTCTGACTCTCAGCGGTTCAATTGTGTCTTATGTGAATCTCTTGGATCTCTTGTGTTTCAGCATACAAGGGTATTTTCAATACTTTGTTTGATTCACGTTGTTGACAGTTTTGATGATTTTTCGAGCCATGTTTCCCAAGAGTCGTGGTCCACCTTTGCCATCTTCTGAAGCTTTTTCTACTGGACAGATCCCTATTCGCTGAACATTGTTGGACGACTTGGACAATACCGTATAGAAGCTGCTACTGCCGATCAGTTGGCTCCTATTATGGGTCAGATTTTCGATGCTGAACGACATGCTGAAATGCAACAAAACATGTGGAATTTTCAACAAATGATGCTGACGATGAATCCAACACTGATGAACTCACCATGTTCATGCTTGTCTGTGTATCAACCATGTCGGGGGCCACAAACGGATACTTCTGGTCCGGAACCCTGCGTTTTTAGTGCGGGGACTTCGTCCACAGTCGGACACTCAACTTCTGGTCCGGGACCTAGTCAATGTGATCCAGGTTGAAACATTGTCTCGCCACATGATTGATGAATACAAAGCCTGTGGGGTGGGGGACCAACCTAATTTGGAGGCAGTTAAATTTTGAGCAAAGCTTCCATTGAAAATCAGATTCGTTTGCTGGCTGCAGTTCAGCATGTTAAGAATCAGTGACTAGATTTGACCAAAGACAGTGTAGGCCCTGTCAATTCAGATGGGCAGCTGTGCGCATTTCATGAATTCAGAACGTTTTCGAAATCTGTTCGGTCCTACTGTAGACGACTGTTACTGAACGGATGTCAGTGGATTGCATGCCTCCTCCAATTTCGAACAATTTACCTTGGAATCTCCAACAATTTTTGATGTGGATTTTGAGTCAATGGACAGCTACTTGATTGCTTTTGCTTGCTTATAATCAGACTCAACGTCGGATCCTTAGCATTTTTCATTTCTTGCACCTGCCTCAGAACTGGACTTTTGAGTGGTGGTCGCAAACAAATGTGGTGTATATGCGATTACACTGGACTGGAGACTTACATAGGAAGCACAGAGAATTCGGTTTTCCTACGTGAGCAATCTCGTACACGTAAATACAGACAACATGCTTTGCAACAGTTGGCTTTCTTTGAACCAGCCATCAAACTCTGGCATAGACAAGAGAGACAATTACTACCAATTCTGTATTTTTCCTGTCCGTTTTCAATGTGGGGACGCTGAAAATCGCTTGAGCCTTGAACAAGCATTACAACAAACACTGCGGCCTATCTACAACTGGCCTTGGATCAATCTTTCAGCAGCAATTTGACAATCACTTGCGTATTTTCAACTTCTCTATATGTTGGGGTCTGATGCACTGATGAAATTTGAATGTTCGAAATTATTGCGATCATCTCAAGCTGATCATGACTACATATTCTTGTTATGCAGATTGAGTCGAAACCTGTCAGAACCTTTCCGGTCAAGAGCTCAGCGACAACTCAAGCTCATTCTGCAGTTCCGGAACTCAGATTTTCCACCTGCCAATGTACCTGTGCGATGACTCATTCTTGATGATGAGATGGAATCACAAATGAGGTCTTGGTTGAAATGCTTTATCGTACATTATCAGGTAAGTTTTCCTCCTTTCATTTTGCTCATTCGTTATGCATTCATTGTCCTTGTCAATGGCATGAGTTGCTGATTCGGACATTTTTGGATAACAAAGTATTTACTCCCTGTAATGCTACGCCAGTACAGACAGTACAGCAGATTCGCAATTCAGTGCCTGAGTGGATTTCTCGATATTACGCATGGGGCCTGGACTTCAGTGCGAAACTCAGTACGGATTACATTCTGCCAAAGCCTACTCGCATGTTCAAAAAGGCTAGACCCATTATCAACTATAGCACATCGTGGCCGCGGAAGTTGGGCCAAGCTATTGGTATCGCGTTATTGGAAAATATTGGAAATACTCAACATTGTGTATTCTGATCTTTTGAAACTTCAGGATGTACATGCCGTACTTGAACAAATTCGCTTGCTGTTCCAAGTTATTGCATCTGATGAACGTATCTTTGAAATCCATCAATCTGACATCGCGGGTTTCTACAACCAAGTGGAACATGATCGGATTCTTCAAGCTGTTGATTTCGCGGTTTATCGTTTCTGTGATTTGCAGCAAGTATCTTTGGAATCTTCTATACAAACACACAATCACAAGTTGGAACGCGCACTACGTAGTTTTCGGGGTCACTGGCGATCTCAGAGCAGTTTCGAGAATTCAAACTGTCTCATATTCGGGATTTGGTAAAGTTTTTACTTCAGAACTCATTCTTCCACGTCGGGACCCAAGTTTTTCGTCAACATCGTGGTGCGTCTATGGGCTCACAATGGGCGCCTATTTTAAGTTCTGCTGTTGCATTGATGAGAGAGTACAACTTTTTCCAGGTTTATCCCATGTTATTGTCGCAACCATATTTTGCACATTGTTACGTTGACAATAGAGCTCATCAGGAGATTTTCAGATTCGCCAGGTAATAATAGGTTCTCTGCGGTTTGCCCCATTTCGGGGCCATTGTGTGTGTGTGTGTACGGTTTAATTTTGATGAATCGATCATGTTTCGATGAAGCAGGGGGTGCCAGAGGTTTGAGTGAAGCTGGCACCAAGGAAGACCTTCACTCTTTCCTGTGATATGAAAACGGGACGCCGTTTTCACGTACCTGCTGGAACGGTTGAACAAGCTTTTCTCCTCAGGTTGTTTAGGTATATTCCGACAGGTTGGATTTTCGATCTCCCAGAATTCATCTTTTGGAATGCGACGACCTCACGGTGTTTCAGTGTGCTTGCGATGGAAGGCAACTCAGGACATTAGGCGACGACGGTGACATCATTCACAAATTCCACTAACCATTGCCCCACAGTGTGTGTGTAACATCTGAATAGATGTAAAACTTCTCCTTTTGTCTTTTTTCTCTCCTTCTAACAAGGGTTGTAATCTTCAATGCAGGGGGTGCCAGAGATGCACACTGGACTGGCACAAACGAAGACGCCAGTGTTTCATCTGTGATATCGATGGGGACGCTCATCGACGTACCTGCTTTTTTACGATTTACTGGAATGGCAAGGGGCTAAGCCGAGAACCCCAACAACAACAATATTTTCGTATTTCCACGGTCGCCGCAATCTGAGCTTATTTTCGATGTTATTCATACATGGTCCATGTGGTATCTTCCGTGATGGCGAAGGGCTAAGCCGACAACCCTGACATGACGATACTTTGACGTTTTGGATTCTGGTTTTATCTACGTTCGATTATTTTGGATGACCTTCATTGTATTCGCGAAGTACAACCAAGAGATCTACTTCAGGTCAAATGTTCTTGTCTTGTTGCATGTAAAAAGGACTCAGTTCCTGATGGATCACTTAAAAGATCCAATTTTGTCTAGTGTGTGCGGGAGGTGGGGGTGATTGTTTGATGGTTTGTGTGGCGAACCTCATGCAAACTAAAAAATCAAACCATGCATGGGCTCGAACATGTTCCAAAAAAAGGTCAGCTGGTTCCAAAAAATGTTTGGCCGCACTGTTTGAACTCAAGTTTTTCCGTTCCCTCTTGGGGCTCGGCCCGAGAGGAGGAATGCTGTGCCCTTACTGTGGCGAGGTCCGCTACTCCAAGGAATGCAGACCTTGCCAAGTAAGGGAACAAAAACAGGTTGTTGGCAATTATGCTGGTTGCCGCATTTGCGACCATCTCCCTGCCACAACTCAAAGAAGATTGGCGGAGAAAGTGGAGTGGAGGTATTGGTATTTGATGGAGCCACCGGCCCAAGCTGCATTGGAGAACTTGGCGCGCCCGGCCCATCAGGAACCTCCAACGACGAAGGAGCGGTTGCACCATTCTTTTCACACCGACCCAAATCAGGTTGGAGTTGGAGAAAAGCTTGCGTCCAAGCTCTTCAAAATCCTTTTCAGGCCCTACGCGGGGGAAGCTGGGATTCAAAACAGAAAGGCAGCCGACCTATTGGAGGTCATCATGGAGATGGCGTGGAACCAAAATCATTACCTGTGGAGACAGCTGCAGGAGTTCATGGACATGGTGCATTACTTGGAGCTCTACAGGGAGATTATTCCACCGGTGGGCAACACATTCTTCGACCAATTTTTGGCATGAGATGGCTCGCCTCTCATTTGTTTTGGCCTTGTCTTAACGGGACAAGGCATTTCTTGGCAAAGCTCAGGACGGGCAAAGCTAAGGACGACCTTTCTTGGCGTTGGCCAGGACAACAACTCGGGGTGACAAAAAGGTTGGGTGGGTAGTGGCAGCTGTGTTTGCTTGAAAACATTTTAAAGATATAGTTAATTTTGGATAACCAGTCTGTTTTTTCTTGTTATGGGCGAACCTCACTGTTTCTTGTATTTCAAGCGGGCGAGCCGCATTTTTCAAAAAGTTGTCATCGTGCAGGAGTTATAACTGGTTAAAGTCAACGCAAAAATCAACGTGTGGTAGCTACTTATACTGTAACTGAGTTTATAAAAAAACCATAAGCGCCAAAGCCGTACAAGTTTAGTCGGGAATGATACGGACAGATCCGTCAGACTGGTGCAGCTTCAGCTGGGTGGGGGCCGGGCAGACCGCCAAAAAGTGCACGGGATTGTGGTAATTTGCGCATTTCGTAGATCGGCCCAAACTCGTCCAGATGGACCGTTTCAATCCAACATGGCGGCAACATTGGCCCGGCTTGGGGTCTACTTCGGCCAGCACGGCCCCAACTTCGCTTCGGCCCAACTTAGACCGACTTGGCCCCAACTTCGGCCCAACTCGGCTCGAAGATGGCGCGCCTTGGCCCCAAAGCGGACCCATTTGGGAGCAACTTCGGCCCAAGTTGAAGTTCATATGGCTTCAAAATGGGAGATATAGCCGGCCCAATCCAACATCCTCAAATCGCCCGTTTTCACTGGTATTTTCGCTGTTTTTGCTATCGATGACGTGTAGTTTGAAGCAAGGTTCTCTATGTTGTGTCTCCGTTGGGCCCAACTTGGTGCGAAGCTGTCGCCAAAGGTGCCAAATTGCGGCATGTTGGAACTGACTTGGACTTCCATGTGCATCAAGTTGGAATCCATCTGGTTTGCTCTGACCGTTGGCGCCAACTCCAAGACAGCGCAACTTGGGCCCAAGTTTGGGACAGCCTTTGTATTTCCGGCTTTGCTGGGGGTTCGCGTGAAGCCATCTTGCCCACGTTGGGCTTGTATTGGGCCCAACTTCGGCGCTAGATGCCCTCACAGGACCAAGTTGCGCACGCTAAGCCCAGCTTGCATCCAAACGGGCCCAAGTTGCGCCGTGTTGGACCTGAGTTGGGATCAAGTTGGGCCCAAGTTGGAGCCAACTGGCTTAAGCTCGGTGCAAGTTTCAGGGCAAGGACGGCCGAGTTTGACCCCAGTCGGCCGTTGGTTGGGCCAAGTAGGCCCGCTTCTTTCCTCTCCGTCACATTCCCTGGGTGGCGGGCGGTTCTCGTCGCGAAGCGACTCGAATATCATTGGACAATCTGTTGCAGGCCCCCTCCATGTCCTCCGGAATACATTCCACCTCCACAATCACCATTGGCTCCTGAACATATGCGGAAAAGGCGTAAACAAAGCCTTGATCTGCCTGGAAAGCTTTCTCCCCATAGCTGTTTAAGCTCCAGACGCTCCCTGGAGGCTGGAAAAAATGTGACCTGTCAGGCACTGTCACGGTGCTGCCCTTCAACTCATATCGCCCTGAAGCATGCTGAAGCATCACCCAAAACATCTCCGAGGCGTGCAAGGAGATGACTCATCAACCAAATGGCGACCCAATTGCTGCCAATGAAAGCCGTATGTAGTACGCAGGTAGATGTGGGCTTGAGAGAATTGCCTGATGTAGGTGTCGTTGTACAAAAACGTGACGATTTTGTCCTAGATCGGCGGTTGCAGGTAGAGCCGGTAGAGCAGTCAATCGCACTGTGTGAAATGGCGAACCAGAATGAACTCATACAGTATACATATCACATATATCATATATTTAAAAAATATTGGTCTGGCGGATAATTGTCCTGAATGCATGCTCATAGGCCAAAACATGCCTCTGAGACTGCTTTGACAAAGGGCTCAAAAAGCAAAAGGTCCTCCAACTTTTGAAAGCTGTGCTCCTCTTCTGTAATGCCTGATGCATCTTTGACCTTGGTGCGCAATGTCAGTATAAACCTTGACTGCTGGGTCTCAAGCTTGAAATGAACCGTCCAAGCGAAGGCCATTTGGTGCTTTGTCGACTCAATGTTTGCTTACTCAGTCTTTATCTCCAGAAGTGACGAGAAAGGCTCAAGTTGTCTCAAATAGCAGATGTATGCAGAAGTATGCAGGGGTAGGAGCCAAGTAACGGCTGTCTCATGACCAGCCTGAGATGCTCGCAACCTCGGGACTACAGAAGTGACAGCAATGATAGCACAAGTGACTTGAAAAGACACGGACGTTAGCGCGAAAAGAATATACAGCACCAAGCAACACCAAGAAAGTTTGGCAGCACCGAAATGAGAGCAATGAAGATGAATATACTACATGAGTCACTGAACATCATTGAACAATACATGAAGTCATTGTCGCTCCTGTGACTTAGCAAGTTCTGAGGGATTACAAGGATTTCTAGGCGAACTTGGGGGCGCAGCTCCAAGAGATCAAAGGGCACAATGAAGGCCAGAACCCCCTGATGTACGATGCAATGTCTTTGATAGTCTGAACGGGATCGGCATTTCAATGATTTTACGGAGCATCCATCTCCCGATAATCTTTCTGTCTGTCCAATGCTGCAATGGAACTTCTTCTGGTAGTGCCATGCATCCATCTCGAACTGAAGCTCGACAGTTCCGTCCTCCTCAAGCACGTTGGTGCGCACGCAAAAAAAATGACATGGCGCACTACGCGTCACAGTTTCTAATATTTTTTTAAAATATATATTTATCTGATTCGTCCAACGAACTATATCAAATCGCTTGCGCTCCTGTGTCGTGGATATGTTTGGCAAATCTCGGGAGACTCTTGCCTACCTGCTGAAGAATTGAAGGAAATGTGGATGGCCGACAGGAATACAAGACGATTATCCTAAGGAGCAGTGGCCAACAGTGGCCAAAAGCTGCAGTTTGCTTTACAACTTTGTATCTGTAGGACTACAGAAAATTCGGAGGAAGATTGAATCGCCCTGCGCTACTCACAAACTACCTAGCCAGTTCCGGCATGGTTGCGAAAGTTTCAAATGTTTTAAGTTTAAAACATTTTTAGGGCATTTAAGGACAAGAGTTCTGCTTTGTCTGGCTTTTCTCGAGGAAGACTGAACTGGAAGGACAGCTTAGGCCAAGTAGCGTTGGAGAACCTAATATGCCTGCTGAACAGGAAAGGATTTCATGCGTCCGTCCTTCACATCTTGGTAGAAATAAGACACCGTCTTGTCTGGCATGGTACGCCTGAGCTTCTCAGGTAGCGATCCAGCTGGAGCGCCCATGCATTGAGTCAGCTGGTGCAAAAAAAACATGATCAATACGTGCTCGAATGAAAGGCAAGGAGTACTGTAGTCCCTGACTACAAGAGTCTGAGGGGTTTCCATCAGCATACCTTTCACAGTGACCAAATTCAGTAATGAAGATCATGTACCAGCAAGTGCATACTGGCAGAAGAGCTTGCTTGTCGTGTCGAAACAATAATGGTTGGAAAATACAAAAGATGAGATTTGCTTGTGTTTTCCTTATCTTCCACTGTCTACTAGCCAGCCCTGTTATTTAGCCCAGACATCTGAAAATTGCAGCTGAAGATCTTTTGCAGGCGGACCTGTTCGAAGCAGACTAGACATCCAGTTGAGGTGGGGTACTGTCACGATGTGCAAAATGACTTGGAAAAGAACACAGTATAGTGCTTCTTCAAACAAAGGAAACTTCTACAAATCGAAGAGGCGTTATTTCATGGGATCTTCATTCGTTTCTCAATAGATGGCTGATTTCTCTTCTGTGGTTGGAAGGTGTTGCTTGACTACTTGCTCTTGTCGGCCTTGTCACTCAACAGTGTGCTTCGAACCTCGCTGAAGGATGTGTATGCCACCTTCGAATGCAAGCGCATCCAAGGGCTAATTGGCTAAATGCAAGTGGTGATTCATGGTCGCACATGAAACATATCGTTGCTTGATCTTGGCATTCTCACACTCCAAAGTTTGCAAGCTTCATTGCACGGCATGGGCCATTCTGAATGGCAGTCCTCTAAATCCTACCTGTTAGAGTGAAACCTTTAGTCGCTGTGTATCTTATCAGACTTTTGAGAAACTTGAAGTGACTCTCAAACTGCACGGTGCCTGGGGGTCCGCCCGGAGAAAGCGTTTCATGTCGTCGCAGCTTATAAATTCACAGACGAGCCGTGCAGACCTTTCTTCCTGGACGCGATCCCCGATTATCCTGCACGAACCACTTCCACGAACTCAGCAGAACGGTGCTCAGATGTCAAAAGTTTTGGCGCGGACATGAACGTTGAGGTCGCAATTAGGGAACACCCCGGCATCGCCCAGCACTGCAGTCCTTCTAATGATGTTTTTCACCTCTTCCCGCTTCTGGGCAAAGTCTTTACCCGCATTCCTACCCCAGTTGTTACGGGTTGAGCTGGCAATGATGCGCAAACTCTAACACAAGGGATCACAAGGGAAGATGTAATCATTTTCTGATGACCATTAAACAAGACGGGTACTGTGAGACATCTAACATGTTTGAAAGCATGGTAAATAGTGGGACGCTTGCTACCAAGTAACGAGACTATGTGATGGTTCTTGGCGCCCATCCACGCCTGGCAGAATTTATCAGGAATGAAGGATGAGTGATGAGTCCGTCTTTCATGTTCTTTGCTTTTCTCTTGATTTTGAGAAAATGTATTTGACCAAAGGAAGTTTAGAAGTCAAACTTCCGACAATATGGACAGATGGAAAAGCAGACGTGGGAAGAGTCAGAGAAGAGAAGAGAAGAAGAAAGAAGATCAGAGAAGAGAAAGAGTCAGAGGAAAGAAGATAAAGCGGTGGGTGCGGAGCCATCTGGCCAGATGAGAGATGAAAAATTGCACGCCGTTGTGGCGCGAAGCACATTCCGAAGTCAAAATGTGCAAAACACACCAACATCGGAGCACTTTTGGAAGCTGAGATGTCGAAAAAGCGCACGCTGATGTGGCGCGAAGCACATGTCCACGGAAGGTTCAGATGTGGTTTTGCGTGGCAGGTGCACGGGGTTCTGCACCTTGTCAAAGGAGCGCTTTGTAGCATTTCCAAAAACGATGGCAGGCGTGGGACATTTCAAGAGGATCTGGAAAGATGCATTTCGCGTGGCAGGGGTTGCATTTTGGAGCATCAGATCTTCAGTTTGCTAAGATGATTTTGCGTGACAGGTGCAGTACTTCGTAAGACCTGCAACTTTCCATGTTTGAAGGAAGTCTCGCAGAATTGCTTCGTTTTTGATGTGGTCAACGTCGAAAAATGAGGAAGTCTTGCAGAGTTGTTTTGTTTTTGACGTGGTCAAGTTCAAAAATTGAGGAACTCTCGCAGAATTGCTGCGTTTTTGATGTTGCCAAGTTCAAAAACTGAGGAACTCTCGCAGGATAGCTTCGTTTTCAAGCTTGCAGGTAGACAGATAGATAGATAGATAGATAGACAACTACAACTACAAATGCACATCTACAACGCTACATTACACAACACTCATTACACCACACTAACACACTACATTAATTACATCTCCTTACGCTACACTACACTAATTACACTACAACTACAACAACAACTACTACCACAGCTACAACTAGAATTACAACTGCGCTACATTACACTACGCTACACGAATTAAATTGCAATATGCTACAACTACACATACAACTACAACTACACTACATTACACAACACTACGCTACACTAATTACATTACATTACGCTGCAACTACAACGGCTGTTGCAATTACAACTGCCACTACATTGCGCTGCACTACGCTGCAGTAATTGCACTACACTACACTACAGCTACAACTACATTACTTTACACTACGCTACGCTAGACTACACAACACTATACCACGCTACATGCAGCACACAGCACTACAGTACACTACAATAAATACACTACACAAATTACACCACACCACAACTAGAACTACAACTGCAACTACACTGCACTAATTACACTACATTACAACTCCAACTGCACTACACTGCACTAGAACTGCAATTGCAACTGCACTACACCACACTACATCCAGCAGTTGTGGTGAGGTGACCGCTGCAACCATTGCAGCCACTCCAAAAAACACAACTACACCCACGCTCTGCCATCCGTGATTCACAACAACCAACCTCTCCGATACGTTTCCTATTTTTGAAACTTTCGCCACCGCCTTGTGCGGTACTACTGGTATATTTGATCCCAAATCCTGGGTGACAAATGACAAACTCGCCCTCTATCTCTTGTGTGTCTTGAAAGTGGTAGCGTGCTCGTGGTGTGGCCTTTAGTTTCCAAAGGGCAAACTACACTTTGACCATCGACCCTTGGGAAAAGCAGGCTGGGTTTTCAGGCAAAACAGGCTGGGTTTGGTTCTTTTTGGGACAAAGCTTAATTCTCACAGTCCGGAGCACGAAAGATGTTTGAGTTTGAATGATGGAGGTTGGAGGACTCCGTGTCTCTGAAGATAGTCAACTGGTAGCAAGTTGGACAAGGATCAACTTCTGAAATGGGTCTACTTTGATGTTGATGATGGTCTTGGGCTCTTACAGGGACTTGCATGTGAAGGCAAGGAAAGGCGATGTAAACACAAATTACACAAATTTGGATTGAGGAAAACATTTACTGAAACAAATGTTAAGATATGTAATCAAGTAAATAGATGTATGTATATATATATATATACATACATCATTTGTACACACCCACACACACGCACACTATGTCTCGTTACATTGTAAGCAACGGAGTTGGAATGTCAACAAGCGATAAAGTGTTTGACCTCGTTTGGAACAGCTTTGGAAACAAAGAACTGTTCGACAGCGACAAATCTTCTTCATTTGAAGAACGTCACGAAAACAGTTTCATCAAGGGAAAAGCCTGCCAAATCCCTAATGGGGGAGGCAAGATGGATACTAGATCCGAAAACAAAATGATAAGCATTCAGGACTGCATGACGCTGACCCGATCTGTTCAATGAAGTCTGCTGCAGTCTACCTTCTATTGCCTGCTGACATCTTCTGAAAAAGGACAGCAGTGTGTCGCTTTGGACTTGGTGCTGTCGCCTGTTGTGTCTTCATGTCCATGTCTCGGGCTTGATCTGGAGATTCATGTCGTGCACTCTCTGTGCCATCTGCGCCTCGGATGTCAATCTGCACATGCAAAACAATGCAAAACAATGCAAAACAATTGATCCAAAAAGATTCCAAAAGGAAGTACAGCTCAAAACAGCTGTGCGATGCAACAAATGAGGCACAAATTTGCATCCACGATGTCCGTGACCAAAATCCACAAGCCAAACCAATCCAAACCAACGGTAGTAAAGCTCAAGACTCCATGTCTCAGGCATACCTACTAGAAGTATTTAGATCCAAGTGCCCTTCTAGGCTGCTGAGTGCTGCTTTCTTTTCCTTCTTCTCCACATCTTTAGTTCCTTAGCCAAGTAGCCTTCTGCCTGCCAGCAGCATGGCACAAACCGCATGAATCTTCTCTTTAGAGGCGCCGTACAAATAAACTGAGCAAGTCACTGAACTGGCTTCATTCAAGCGATAGTGATGAAAGGATACAAAAGTGTTCTGTCAGCAGTGCCCCGTACTTTGTTGGTCAGTCCATATGCGGTCTTTCGGGCCAAGCAAGACTCTCACCAAGTCAGCATTCATTGCCTGTGCACTTGGCCTAAAACTTAAGACATACTTTAAAGTTAAGACTGGGAGAAGACTGCTGTTACAACTGCTATACGCAGCGCAAACAGCCAAAACACATTACCAGATTGTGAAATTCAAACTTTTCGGAAACATTTTGAGACCGCGTGATACCAAGTTGAGCTACACTTGCGGTTTGCTTGACAGGGGAACTATTCTGAGCCGGTTCTTCCCCATTGCCATCATGCCAGCAATCTTTTTAAATGGAGCACATCTAGTTTTCGTTTTGCGATTTACTTGTGACAGCCGTGCTAGCAATGCATTCCGTTGCGTCCTGTTTCACCCCCACTAGAAACATTGGCGTTATTCTATATCATTGTTAGTTTGAGGCATCTTAAAAAATACAAGATGGGATCACATAACTTCACTGGGGATCCCTGAAGCAACCAAAGTAAGGAAGCATTCAGGAGAGATTCTTGGATAGAGCCAAGGCTTCGTATGTGCATTTGCATGACTTTTGGAAAACCACTTCTCTGATATTTTCTGGTCTGTTCCCCCCGAGAGTCCCAGTGAAAGGGCATTGCAAGCACACAACAGTGGCTCCAGTCTGAATGATGATCATTGGTTACTCTATCTTCCACCTGCTGCAAAGTGTAGAACTTCTCAGCACCATTGGCAGCTGTGACCTCAGTACAGCGTTCCAAGTCAACCTATGGTAGCATATGGCGTATTTGGCATAATTATACTTATGACATCACTATGATGCCTGAAAGTTTGCTGCTTATAGTGCAAGCTTGCCAAATCTTCGCCGGAAGAAATGCTGAGGAGAATTCCAAATGAATGACATAGTCATAGCCTTGGTGGTGCACAAGAGGGCTCAAAGGCATGAGCAAACCTGCAACGCTCACGTAGAAGCATCATGAGTTTCAACAGCTTGCGATTTTTCGACAGGGTGATGTGGAACGCGATCGATGAAAAGCCCATGGTGGGACAAATTGCATCAAATTGCCCAATGTCATGACTCATGACTGTGACTTAGACTTTTATAGTGTGTTACCGTTCAAGGAATGCAAAATAAGCAGTTTCTAGCAGACTGCGTCGTTGTCATTGCCACCTGGTCGCGTCGATCACGCAACCTTGCTGTTGTGGTTCCAAGCCTTAGAAGGCGGGCAGGCAACTTTCCAGAAAGCACATCAGTGTGCAACATCTGAGAGGCCAGAGAGTTCCGAGGTGTGCGGGTTCGTGCAATCCGCTGGATGTTTGAAAGGATGGCACAAAGCTTGCAAGGCTTGTAGAGCAATGCTGTACTAAATTGGAAACGAAGATCCGCTGGCTTCCTTTGCTACTTTTGATACCATGAAACGCTGCAACATATTAAGAAACAAACGCCAACACACACACAGACACATGCCCATACTTGTACTTCAAAAGGGCCAAGCAAGTTGAATAGTCTCGCTCTCGTTCGAGTCATGCTCTTGTTATCTAGTTGCCTCTCGTGACGTCGGTGGTATTTACGCTTTTGCAAGCTTGCTGGAGATGGTTCTGGGCCTTTGGAGCGGCCCATTTTGAGCAACGACATACAACAGTTCTCGGCCCATTTTGAGCAAGGCACTCCTCTTGCACCATGGACCAAGCCTCCTCCCAGCAGCTTTTGTGACATGTATGCCAATGTATGCGTGTATCTACATTACATAATTATACATATATAGTATACATACATACATACATACATGCATGCATGCATACATACATACGTACGTGCATACATACATACATACATACATATACACATATACATACATATACATACATATACATACATATACATACATATACATACATATACACACATATACATACATATACATACATATACATACACAAACACATATACATATACATATACAGACATATACATACACATACACATACACATGTGCATATACATATGCATATACATACACATATACATACACATATACATGCACATATACATACACATACATACATACACATATACATATACATATACATATACATATACATATACATATACATACATAAATACATACATACATACATACATACATACATACATACACACATATACATACATATACATACATATACACACATATACACACATATACATACATATACATACATATACATACATATACATACACATACATATACATATACACATACATATACATACATATACATACATATACATACATATACATACATATACATATACATACATATACATACAAATACATACATATACATACATATACATACATATACATACATATACATACATATACATACACAAACACATATACATATACATATACATACATATACATATACATACATATACATACATATACATACATATACATACACATATACATACATACATACATACATACATACATACATACGGTACAGTACAGTCCAGTCCAGTCCAATCCAGTCCATTGCAGTGCAGTGCAGTACAGTACAGTACCGTACGTACGTACGTACGTACGTACGTACATACACACATACATACATACATACATACATACATACATACACACACATATACATACATGTTAAATATCTTGGCTCAACACAAGGCCTTGAGTCGGACTTGAGTCAGCCCGGTAGCCAACTGTGAATACAACAGTGTGGCAAGACAACAATACAGCGCGTGCAACAAAAGGCGCACTGCAACAGTGCACAGCGTCAGCTGTACAACAGACTGCATCAACAGCTGCCTTGAATTTTTCATGGTAGCGGAGCTCTGCCTAACCAGGGGCATCTCCAAGCAACAGCAGTGAACAACAAGCAGAGGACTTGATCCCAGAACACTGGAGGATCCTCAGCAAGACACTACACACCACAATGGCAGCGCCAGCAGATGATGAAGTAACAGCCTTGGCAGCAACGCGCAAACTCAAACTCAAACCCCCAACATATGATGGCAACTATGCCACATATGAAGAATGGAAATACAAGTTCACAGCATACATGGGCCTACAGGGATGTTTAGGCTGGCAGAAGCAGCAGCGCGGTGAACCTGCTGGAACTTTCAAGGGATCCACTTAGAATGGAACCCTAAACCCTAAAAGTTTTTACTTTGGGTGGTTGGGGTGGGACACTAAGCAGAGCGAGTGCGCTTCGAGCGGGGGCGTGCCAGCAGATTGACAGCCCCCCGCCCACGCACGACCACTCTTGCACACCCCAAACCCTAAACCCCAAAACCTAAACCTTGAAAACGTTGAAACCTAAACCAGAAAACACTGCGTAATTATATGCAGTATTTTCTGCAGTCTCTCCTATCATATTCGACAACGCGACAACCTGAATCTTAATGTCTGGGCGACACACGGCGTCTGTGGGTTACATTACATACATTATATTACATACATGCAAATATACATATACAATATACACATACATATACGTATATGTACATAATAATTACATATTTATTGAGTACAAGTAAATGTGTCCATTATACACCATTCCTTGAATCTGGTACCACATAGACTACATTGGACTACCCTGGGGACCCATGGAGCAAGAACATCTTGTTAAGCAAAGTTGCTTGGCATGTTTGCCAGCAAAGACTTCGGTAAAGAACACGAGCAATGTCATGTACCATCCAGATTCGCTCTTTGACAGCTTTACTTGAAAAAAGTGACCCAATGACCCAAGTCACCAAGTGCTGGATATTGCATGACATTGCGTGATGTTTTCGTATAGTATTGCTGCCATTTGCTGCCTCAGTGCAGTAGGCCACATTGTCCACAACTCCACGGTCGAAGAGGATGACAGCTCCACGAGGAGGCTCTGGTAGCATCCTTGAATCTCGTGCGTTTTGGGGAGGAGCTCGGGAGGAGCTCGGGAGGAGCTCGGGAGGAGCTCGGGTCACGGGTCAGAAAAACATGAGTAGAGTTTAGGCAGAGCCACCCGTGTTGCAACAGCCCTGTAAAAACCTTCAAAGTTTGTACCTGTGCTTATGAATTAAGAAAATCTCATGGCAAGAAAGGACCTTGGCCGATGCTGGTAATACCATGTATGTGTACGTGTTGAATAAATACCTGTGTATGCACACATCGTACATCATCATCCAAACACCCACACCCACCCACAAAATGCAATCGCAAGCTTAGGGAGCGTCTTTTCCAGAAACTTCTTACCCTGTTGGCCTAAACCTGACATCAAGCCAAGATCCTTCTCTTTGCCAGGGACTGCCTGCAGAGATCTTCAGAGAAGGTTCATACTTCTGACATGCTTCAGGCATGCAACCTCCGATCCCCTTCCGGTTCCGCTCTCTATTCCTTCCTAAGTAGTACCAAAGAATCACAGCTTTGGCACTCTTGCAAAATCAAACGGTTCAGTTCGGCCAGTTGATCGAATTCGACTATCTTTCATTGCTGTTTGTTTAGAGGGTAACTTAAAGCCCCGGGTAAGGTACTGTTTGTTTATAGGGTAACTTAAAGCCCCGGGCAAGGTATATAATAACTTCCAACGTTCAACGCAGGCTGGCTTCTCTAAGAAAAATATCAAGAAACAAAAACAGCAAAGCTGATGCGCCACCGGGGATGGGAATCACATTATTGTCCTTCTGCATACCTTTTGCCCTCTAAACTTCTATTTTCTTACATCCTCCAGTCCCCTTTCCTTACCTTTGCCAGAACCCTGTTTTTTTCCAGGAAAGCCCGACGGCGCAATTAAGAACAGACTTGAACCAACCCAGAGCCTATTATTGTCCTTCTGCATACCTTTTGCCCTCTAAACTTCTATTTTCTTACATCCTCCAGTCCCCTTTCCTTACCTTTGCCAGAACCCTGTTTTTTTCCATCTTTTTCCCTCTTTCTCTCTGTCCTTGTTTCCACCGACGTGTTTTCATCCATGCGGCCTCCCTGAACCCGCCAGAGACGGATCCTTCTGCGTCTCTTTCTCTTACCATCTCTTACCTCTACCCAAATATTCACAAAATCTTCTGTGCTTCCTTCAAAGTCCATTTACCTCCCAATTTGTCACCTGTCCCGACTTGCCCCGCTCCGATCCTCCACGTGAATCCTGCGGGGGCCTCCACTGCAATTGGGTCCGCATCGGCCCTGTGTCTGTGTCCTTTTTCTGTCAGGGACTTTCCGTCTTGCTTAGGCCAGGGGGGAGGGGGGACGAACAGGCCCGGCCCGAAACAGGATGCAGAGTCGTCCAAGATACAAAGAACTTTGCAAGTCAACAATTTTGCGCTGCACCTCCTCCGAACTGCTTTCAAGCAGCCATTCAAGCTGTTGCAGCTGTTGGTTCACTTGAAAAATTTCTTGCGAAATTGATATGCAGTCTCAACGGTGTGGTATTGTCAATTCTGAGATTTGCTTCAAAGCTTTGCATGTGAACTTCTTTGCGGGTTCAGGTTCAAAGTAACTACCTGCCCATATCAACACGCGGTGAACAAGAAGCAATACCTGCCCAAAGTATTTGACATCAATCGGTGACTTTGTATTGAGTCAGTTCAACTGCGGCCGCAGCAAGCTCCGTGGCTGCCTTGCCATCATCACGATGCTATCTTCAATGCGCATTTGCACACCTGGATTTAGACACATTGTTGTCAAAGCACTTGGGTTTGTTTCTATTTGACAAGACATGTTTCAAGGCTGGGAGTGTCTCTGTGACTGTCTGAGACTCTGGCTTGTCATTTCAAACCTGGTGCAGGGCTACGTTGGTTCTGCGCAACAATCAGCACCCATCTTAAGCTACCATCTCAAAATGGATGCAGCCATATGCAGCCCACATCTCAAGCTCCAGAACCAAAGCAGACCGCCAAGTTGCTGAAGTTTGGCCCATGTCTCATCATCTGCAAGCCCTTCTTCTTTGAAGTCGTCCCACATTCGTCCACCGGACCTTGCTCAAGAATGTGTGTGTGTGTGTTTCACTGCTTGCTTTCACATAGCTGCGACATTTTTTGGAAGATCTTGAAACATCATTTGGCAAGGCATGACAATGCATGTCTCTTAGTTGTAGCATTTGCTGTCTTCATGTTTTCCGGAGTTCTTTTTTTCCTTGGGTTTTCAGTCACGCCCCTGGATCCTGGACCAGGGACCCACCATGCTGCCTAACAACATTTTCAACCTCACATGGGACGTGATTCAAGACAATACCATGCCCAACAAAATCGGCAATTTTCTGAATCAAAAACGCTGACCTAGCAGCAGAATCATCAGAATACCAGCTGGAAGTGGCGGCTTTGCCAAGAGTGAAGCATGAACATTACGTATGTAAAACAACTTGGGCACATGTATTTAGTATGTATTTAGTCCACAGCCGCAACAGCAACGTCAAAGCATTAGACAGAGTGTGTACCAAACTAAAGCAAACTGATGATCACACTGTTACTCCAAAACAAAAGCTGCATTGCCATTTGGGGTAGTTCACGCCACAGATTCATATGAACACATTACAAAGATACATACATGACATGACATGACATGAAATTATACTAGCATTACACTAGCATTACACTAGCATTACATCACACAACAGAACGTAACATACCATAGCAGAAAACACCAGATCACACCATCACAAAGAACTAAGAACAACAACAGTAACAAAAACATACTATAGCAAAACACAAGACAACACTAGAATGCACGACATTTTTTGTTAAACTGCACGACATTACAACACATTACGACAAAGATATTATACAACTACTGTACCGAACGGTACGGTACCATGCATACACAGATACATGAGTACATGCGCTTACACACATACCGTTACTAACGCACCACTACAGACATACAACTACATACTTACAATACATTACATGGCATCACATTACCCCACACCACAGGTTTCATTACATACCAGTACATACCACAACATCGCACTACATACCATTGCAAACCATTCCACGCTATTCCAATCCATTGCATTCCGCACATATCATTACATATCATTGCATAATACCGCTCAATTCCGTTACAAACCATTACGTACCATTACATGACGGTGCATGCCATTGCATAGTATCGCACACCATTGCATACCATCGCATATCATGGCATACCATTACATTATATATACATTACATTTCGTTACCTTACGTTACATTACATAACATTACATACCCTTGTATACCCCTACACCACATACCATTGCAAACCATTGCGTACGATTACATACCATTACACAACGCTGCATACCATAGCACATCATTCCATATCATCGCATAGCCTTTCATACCATTGCATGCCGTTGCATACCACTGCGTACCATTGCATGCCAAAACATACCATTACATGCCATTACGTACCCTTAAATTACATTGCATTGCAATGTCAGCACATCACGGAAAGAAATGGTTCTGGCCTGGCATTGCATGATGCTTTTGATGTGCAACATCTAGCTATCTTGCCGTGAATCATACTTCTGTGCAAGATTGTGCAAGTAGCTTTTTGATGCTTTAAAAATAGCAAGCAACGGGCTCGTAGTTAGTAAATGGAGGGACAAATTCAATGGACCGAGGGGTCGGCCAAGGTCTTCTTTCAATGCTGCCTTGCTAGAATACCATGGTCTGCTATTTGCCAAGGTATGCTTTTCTGTCCTGTGACATGCATGATGTATTGGAGCTTCCAGCTTAGTTGCCCAGAGCGCAACTGTTGCCATTATGATAAATGCTCATCAAATAATTACGTAGCATGCTTATTTACCAAGGCTCCTTTAGCAAGTGTTCTTTCTCACTGACTAGCTAGGGTTTTTCGATGACGGGCCTCTCAGGGCTTGCAATTTCCATCAATTTCCCATAGACATGCAGGTGGAAACAGTTGCCTTTGCGAAATTTGAAAATGAGAGTAATGATTGTGGTGGCTGACTTGAGTCACTACCACAGAGATTCCCTATTGGTAGGCCATAAGAGAACCTAAGAGACACCGAAATGGTCTTGGACTTCCATTGGGGTTGAACGGTGCACTTGAGGTGGTCGCTGGTCCACTTCTTGGTGTTATATAATTTGTTGATATTTGTTGAATGTATTCCACTGGAAGCCAAAAGTGCACCGAAACCAAATCAAGAGAAGGCACTGTCCAACGGATCGAAAGGTTAGACTTCCAACAGACCAGCACACTCCGTCATACTGTATCAGGCTGATGACCTAACACTGGAGGTCTTAAATCCTAAAGGGCCTAAACTCCTAAACCAAGTGGCAAGAAAAGAGCTCATGAACAAATTTGCAAGAGAACCAGCAACAAGCACAAGGCACAAGGAATCAAACAACGACTGTCACAACGACTGTCAGTGCACGCAGCGCAAATGTAGGTGCAAAAGTTTGGTCTTGAAAAAGCTGCTACTCGATGCTCAACAACATTACCTTTTTTCTGTACACAGTTAGGAAATTCAAAACACTCAGGTTAGTAGAGGCAAACACACATATACTCGATCAACAATTTAATTCAAACCGACTATTCACCAGAAGCAAAAGGCAACAGGCTCTTCCACCAAACGCTGCAATCAAGACTAGCAACTTTGAATAGTTCACCTGACATAGCTAGTAAGAACAGTGCAGCACTTATCAAGCAATACTTTCAACAGCATGTTGTCGCTTTTGGAGAAAAAAGAGACACACAAACACACACACACAAAAGCACTGTAAAACACATACGGTATAAAGTCCCACTCTTAAAAAACATATGGGCCTGCTGTCTATTGAAGCGCGGCCAAATTTCATCAAAATTCATAATGTGCTGTCATTCCGGCACTGCAGCGACACAACCGTTAGAACTGAGTGCAGTGCCAGTTGAACATTTCAGTGGCTATCTCCTGCGACGGCCAATGGCAGCAACCACAAGTCAACTTCTGTCGCAAAACCATTGGAGTTGGACAGGCCGCCGCTATGCTCTTCGTCACGCTAGTGATCGATCTGATGTCGGAAACACATCCGAACATGCCAAGATATGAGGCCGGACATGCACAACTTGTCTGTCCGGCATGGTGAAGACCAAAAAATTCTTGTCCGAAAGCATCTGGATCAAATCGCTCATGACTGTACCTGTTGCGCATCGCCGAGAGGATCTGTTCTCGCAAGAGTGGGCACAACCTTTTAGTTCAATTCAATAGATCAGGGTCGGATCAGCTGTGTTCAGGAATCACATGGAGAGTAGAGGCCAGAATCGTCTTCAGGCAAAGATAAACATAAACAGTCATAGAGTCATAAACAATAATTTACAATAGACAATTTGCTTACTTCTCAAGCTGATCTTTTGTTTGTCATATTCGCGTTGCTTCTCGTCTAAGTCAGCCCACACTCGCCGCACTTTGGGCTAGGAAATCAATGGTGAAAAGGATATGGTTTAATGCGAAGCGCCAAGAAAGAAGAGCATGTGCAATGAAGCTAGATTTGACCCTGTGGGAAATATACAGCAAGTGAATGTGTGTGTATGTATATATATATATGCAACAACTATGTATATTCCTGTCGCCAGAGCAAATTTAAGTTTTAGCAAAATTTAATTCTTGCAGAGGATGATCCTCTTGAACTTCAATAACACTGGAAATTTGGAACATTGGCCACATTGGCATGTCAGTCTGTATATTTTGCCGTTGACATGGATTCAAGTAATCTTCCGAACAATAAACTGGACCTTCAAGACCCTTAACAAACAGAGTACGTAAAGGTAGATTGGCTGGTTTATGGCTCCACTACTTACAGTAATACCTATAGTACCTTCAGTGCGGGCGTTCTCGTCCTTGTCTCATGTTTAGTTCCTGTTGCTATTCCGAGATTTCATGCATATGACGCATAATATAGATTCAGACGTATCCTTCAATTAAATGTTTTGCATGGCGTGGTGTCGTGTTAAATCGTGGTAATAGTGTTGAGGGTGCTCGCTGTGTCGTGCATCAGCAACTCGCAGAGGTGGAACGGAAGAAATGCCGGTCCGGTATGTCGTCGATAAATAAATAAATAAAAAAAACATATAAACAAACAAATAAATAAATACATACATAAACAAATACATAAATAAATAAATATATATATATATACACTCACACCATTCCTTTTCTTCCGCTGTGCAGACCTAGTTTGGTCATAATTAAAAGAGTTCGGGTAAAAATGAAATGTCCAAGTTGGTTTTGGGGCCCCAATAACCTATGTTCACGCAAAGCCGGAACATAAGTTTACCCCCCCTTGTGCTTCCCAGTGCCCCGCCAAGCCGGGGAAAACTGGGCCTCAAGCACCTTAAGGACATTTTAGAAAAAATATTGCGGGTTGCGCATTTTTTGAAACCTTTCTCTTGCATGGTTTCGGGGCCTTCTTGGCCCGTTTTTGGTCTTTTCCAGATAGGGGGAAAGGGAGGGGGGGGGCTAAAAGCCGATACGCTAATGGAAGAGTAGAATGGTTTCATGTTTATTCCCGTGAACACGTATGGAACAAACACTCACACCATTCCTTTTCTTCCGCTGTGCAGACCTAGTTTGGTCATAATTAAAAGAGTTCGGGTAAAAATGAAATGTCCAAGTTGGTTTTGGGGGCCCCAATAACCTATGTTCACGCAAAGCCGGAACATAAGTTACCCCCCCTTGTGCTTCCCAGTGCCCCGCCAAGCCGGGGAAAACTGGGCCTCAAGCACCTTAAGGACATTTTAGAAAAAAATTGCGGGTTGCGCATTTTTTGAAAAACTTTTCTCTTGCATGGTTTCGGGGCCTTCTTGGCCCGTTTTTGGTCTTTTCCACGTCCCCCTGACTCCTTGGAGCGGGCTCAAGCGTATGGTCAGAGGACCAAAAAATTAAATAAGTAAGGTGAAACGGATGCAGCAAACGAAACAGGATTTGGATATCAGCAAGCATTGCCAAACCAGAGTTCAAGCAGATTTTGGCCGTTTTAATGGCTGTCCAACGGCCCATCAACAACACCCTATCAAGGGACCCCACTTTGACAAAGAGTGAGGTAGCTCCTCCCCTCCGGAGCGAATAGGGCCTAAAGCCCCATGATTCTACACCTAGCTCTTTCAACATTGGGCAAACCTATCACGCCAGGCATGAGGCTTGGAAGTTAAAAATTGATACGGAGATGCAGCAGTCTTCCATTTCCAGAGTAGTTTCAGAAGAGGTAATTCCGAACTTGTTACCCTCTCCGCAGCACCTTGCCTTTGCCTGCTTTAGAGTTTAGCACTGCTGGTTGGGAGCCACTGGTCATATGTATCTGCAGGCTTGCAGTGCCAGCAACTCCCCTGTACGCAGAAGGCCATAAAAAGCAACCAGCAGGCTAAGCCCAAATTCATAGTGATGACAACCAGCCATTGCCCTCAAAACTGGTTCAGTCACAGGGGGTGCCCGCAGAGGGACCTCGTTAGTTGCCCATGTTTTCAAAAGCCTCCACGATAATGGGAGTTGGTTCTTTAAGCTTAGGGTCAAAATCTTGCAAAGCTGCCAAAAAATTGCTAGTCACCGCACGCCCTTCACCAGCACTCCACAAGTGCTCCAAGTAGTCGCTAACTAGAGTGTCCATGGCGTCTCGGCGTTTAGGCAATTCGATGCCTTCTTTTGCAAGATAGTCCCAGAAGAGGTTAAGCCCTGTTGCATAGCGTTCTCTGGTTTTTGGCTGGACAGTGAGAGATTTGAGGCTTCCTAGTTGTCTACGTTGTTCTTTCCTACTTTCTTTTGAGGGGGCCTTTTGTATGACTAGACCCTTTTTACCAATTTTTTAATAACCCCTCGGCGAGAGGGGCGGTCTGCTGGGTTCTGATGGGTGTCCACATATCCCCATAGGGGATGAAGCCCACTCGCCAGTAAGTAGGAATTGACCCTCATCAAGGTGCGTCTCATCTTGCGAGAAGACGATCGGCCACGAGTGAGAGAATGTAGAACAACTAGGCTGTCAACTAAGTGAAGGCACCTGACATCCAACTGATGAAGCCTTTCCACTCTCCATTTGATAGCTCTGAGGGTGGCCCTCAGCTCCAGCACATTAATGTGCTCCGAATTGTCATTCCAAGTCCACCCAGCAACTGTGCGCCATCTCCATAATTTAGCTGGCAAGCTCATACGCAGTCTGTGGTATTTGACTGGAATGTCTGAGTGATGCTGAAGCAGGATGTCTTCGCCTTTTTGTGACGTAAGGCCACAACGCTTCTTGACCAAAATCTCGCTACAATCCAAAGTAGAGGTTCCTCCATGTATCGGCGGCCTAATCAAAAGGCCTTGAAGTGTAGGGGATTGTCCCGGAGTGAGCTCCTCCACACGCTGCTTGATGGGCCGCGCTGCAATCAGCCCAAGTCGGTGAAACAAAAAGCCCAGCAGCCAAGCAATGACTGGGACGCTCCATGAGTTACCCAACAGAGTTAGTCTACAGTCTGAATGGTTAGCACTACCATGGGCTGCCTTCTTCATGCACTGTTTGGTGAAACCAACCGGAAACCCTAAAATGGCTTCCCTTTCTTCAACACTGGGAGGGCGATGCTCTCCCGTAGGATGACGAAGACAATTGGAATCCCTATACTGGTAGGGTGGAAATCTATGTTGATCATCTCGCCAGCGCTGTTTCTCATGCTCCTGACAGGTATACAGACCTGCTGGTTTCCGATGAGGAGTCGGGCTGGGCCGCGAAGTTGTGACTGTTGGGAGAGACTGCTCGGGGGCCACCCACCCCGGCTGCAGAAACTTTTCAGGTGCCACAGGCGCACGCAGCACCACCTCTCCCTTAATGGGAAGCCTCCCGTCGCTGCCCCAATAGACTTCCACATCCTCATCGTCACCCAGCTCCCAGGAAATCCAGTAAAGTCTTGGTCTTCTGGCCAGGGAAACCCCAGCCGCGTCAATGAACCAAGGCTCTTCTTCGTAGGCTTCATTCATCAGCCGGCAGTCTTCATAATCCATAGACGCAACGTTTTCCGTGAGGTTGTGAACCTGCGCCCATGGGAAGTGACGCTTGCACATTGCTGACACTCTTGGCACATAGTGGAAAAGTGAGCTCCTGTGATCCCTTAAAGCCCCACGACGCTCAGCGTTGAGGCCCGAGACGCCTTGGCATGGAGGCCCAGCTCCCACCAATATTGCGCCAACCCTACTGTACTGCAAAGACCACCCTTTGACCATCTCCTCCGAGATGTGCTCAATGTCCTGGACAAAGAGGGTGTTAGGGAAGAAGCTCTCCACCACACGTCGTGCTTCCTCAGAGGCTTAATGGCAACGCTGTTTACCCATCCCATGGGTAAGACCCGTGACACCAGGTACCCCTTACAATCCCCAAAACTATCATCCAACAGCTCCTTGGGGACAGGTCGGCCAAATCCCATAAATTTTCGCCCGGGACGAGGCACCTGGACAAGGTAGAAAAAGCACTTGATATCGTCCGAGGAGGTCGTAAGCTGCTCATCCTGATCGAGGAACATGTTACCCAGGCGTGGCTGTTGGAAGGGTTGCAGTATCTTCAGATAGGGGCCTACAATTTTGGTTCAAGTGCCGCAAGTTCATGATGAACCGGCAAATCTCAATGTCGCCCTTCATCTCCTGTTTGCTGACTCCAAACAATCCGTTAAAGATAGGTACTCCATGGACATGATGTAAGTCAGATTCCTTGTAACTTTCACAAAGCCCCCTAGCCACCAGTCCACGTGCAAGATCCAACCAATGCTCATCACGGACCATTACTCTGAGAACTTTTCCAACCGACTGCTCGTCCACAGGAACCAAAAAAATCTTCAAAGTTGTCTACATAGTGAAGGACTCCGTCTTGACAAAAATCCCTAAGATGCAATTGTCCAACTTCTTGGGGAAGTGAAGGTTCAATGGATTCCCAAGTCAACTCCCTAGCCAACTTAACTTCGTCACCAGAATAGTCCACTGAACGTGTTGCAAAAAAATCCTTAAAGTCCAAATGAGGAAGGGGTTCAACCAGAATACAAGAAGACTCCACGATGCCTTTCAACCTTTTTAACACCCGATTGGCCGTCCGGGTGACTGCGCCGGCGTATGAAACCCTCAGCCCGGTCAGGCTGTTGAGTCCAAAGGCCAACGCTTTGAAAAAAACGGGTCTTCGGGGTCACCTGTGACGTCAGCAGCTGGAAGGGGGAATAAATCCATCTTACCAGCCTTGGGCTGAGGTCTGCACAACAAAGCTTCATCCTGTGAAATAAGCATGACATCACAAATGGCCTTCCCGACCTCTCGCACCTGCAAAGCCCTCTGGGTGCTACAAAAGAGTGCCGACAGCACTTCATGAATTCGTCGGTGAAAAGACTGGGAGTATTCACTCCCCTTTGAAACTTCCGCTCCCTTGGCATCGCTTGGGAGCTCACTGCACTGGGAGGCTGCCTCCTCACTTTGCCCGGTCCTCCCCTGAATTCCCCATGCCTCTTCTTGGGCCCTCATGACGAGTTCATCCAAGGCATGGGCGGTGAAACTATGCTGTAATGCCTCTTCTTCTGCCTCACTCTGCCTCTTTCTCCTCATAGCCTCTAAGCCATCCTGCCTTTTGCCCTGAGCCTCTCCATCATGCCACTCTTCCGGAGCGCTTCAAAGACTTGCTTTGTTGAAAAGAAATTGATGACATTCTTTCACTCTCATTGGGAAGGTGCTCCATTGTACTGTCCAGAGAGGGGCTCCAAGGGGAGCCGATATCACTCACTTGTCTCCCTTCTGCCATCCTCCTTTGTTCTCCTTCTTTGGATCGTTGCCTTTTCCTCTTCGGCCATCCTCGGTCCCTCCCTTGGCAGCACCTTTGGAGCTTGAATCCTTCCCTTTCTTTCTCTTCCCAAAACCGCCGGCGTCTCCTGCTCGTCCACCACTGGGTCTGGCCAGAGCGCTGCGCAAGCGTTCCTCCTCTCGAGCTCGTCTGGCTGCTTCTAAACCCTCCACCTCATTTGTGAGGGTCGTTTGGTCAGATCTGACCAACTCGAGTTGTCTGCCCACCGTCCAGTGGCTTCCTTCGGAGACATTCTCCAACGCCTTGAGACGTTGAAAAAGGATGTCGCACGTATAGTTGCCGGGCGCCCCAGAAGTAGATTGTCAATGCAGCTGCTCAGCGTCAGCGCCTCCTGATACATGGGGGCTGACATATTCGCTGCAAGATGCTGCCTGACAAACTGGGTCGCCAGCGGTGGCATCTGTTTGCGGTCCGCGTCCCACATGGTTCCGCTGTCCGTCAGCAAGACCTCTCGGGCGTCCATCAGGGAGGACGCTGCCAACGCTCCTGGGTATCGCCTCCAAATTACCTTCATCTTCTTCTCGGAACTAAACAGTCCACCGTGCTCGAAACGCCCTGATGATGAACTGCTTGAATAAGTTGAGCCGCCTTTTGAAGACGAACTTGGTCTCCTCTTCTTCTTCTTGCGCCCTCTGCCCATCTTTCGGGCCTTCTTCAAGATCCTGTTGCGGACCTTTGGAGCCGGGTCCAGGGCTGTGCCAGCATAAAGCGCCGACAGCTCCTTCTGACCAGCGCACAACTCCGAAGACTCCTCTGAAGACTCCTTTCGCTTCTTACGCTCTTTGTCATCCACTTCTTTCCTTTTCTTGTCTTTCTTCTTTTCACTTTCCTTCTTTTCTTTGGGAGGAACGTCTGGCCTCCCTTCTTCTCCTCCTCGCCGCTTTTCTGCCTCCAGCCTCAACAGCCATCTCATCCATCTCCTGCCCCTCCTGGGGACCTACCTGAACAAGGTTGGTGTACCACGGCTTCTGCCCAGGTTCCACTGGCTCGTACTCGCGTCCATGGACAAGGAAATCGTCCGTCAGCACATTTCCACACTCCGGGCCACAGACGTGGGCTGTCATGCGACGTCCTGTTTTGCCTGAGATGGCACGGAGGAAGGCCTCATCCTCAGTACCTGTCGCCTCCAGGTCCAAGAAGATCTGCCCCTCGCTGACACATACTCCTTGTACTTTTCCTACCACGTCGATCTGCCTGTGGTAGTAATGGCATTTCTTCAGCCAGATGGAACCCAACCTGCTGAGCTCCGCAATGCCGAGGTCATGCCTGACCCTCCTCTCGCCCGAGCTGCGGGGCGTCTAAGTCCACCGTTTGCCTTTGGGGCCATGTCGGTGGTGTTGTTGGCGTCTCTGGTAATGGCGTTCTTGTTTCGATCTTTTCACCAATCCTTTATTTGTGCCCTCTGTCCACCTTGGATGATCAGAGTAGGGCACAGGCCCCTGCCAGCCACGCCCCTGCTCTTGGTGGCGACGCGGGGGAGGGCCAGGCGGACTGCGCGGCCCAGGCGGGAATGGAGGTGATCGTGGCCTCAGTGGTGATCTCCTTTCTTCACGGGGCTCTGATCTCCTCTTTTTCTCCCTCCTTGGAGAAGTGTTGGGAGATGGATGATCCCCCCTTCTTCTGTGGCTGCGGCTCCTGGACTTATTCCTTCTCTTATCCTTCTCTCCTCGGCATCACCGGCTGCTTCTCTTCCTCCTCGAGGGACTGCGTCTGCGCCTCCCCGATGACCTGGCTCTTTCAGGCTCCTCGGTCACAGTGATCTCCTTGGCGCCCACGAGCTGCTCAGGGCTCTTGTCTGGTTCTACCTCGACTCCTTTTGGGGGCGAGGGAGGTACTGGAGAGGGCTTTCTGGTGGAGCGGCAGCAGCAGGTTGGGAGTCCGAGGCAGTGGCACTCCCCTTATTTTCACCCTGAAGTCCTTGTCCAGCAGGAGGCACCCCCGGGTTCTGTTGCGGGAGGCGGTGCAACAGGTCCAGGATTGGGAGAGCTAACTCGTCCCCTTGAGATGCAGTATTCCAAAGTGTCACGAAGCTCTCCTTCAAAGCTTCGGATGTGGTTTGCAGCCAGCTGGATGAACCCGTTCAAAGGTATGCCAGCATGCTGGATCAAGGCGAAGATACGTGGAAAACTAGCACAAACGGGACAATGGCACGTCGAAAGATGTCCCCACATGTGCTAAAAGCCGATACGCGAATGGAAGAGTAGAATGGTTTCATGTTTATTCCCGTGAACACGTATGGAACATATACATACGTATATAATTATCATTATAGGGCAGGCCGGCAGGCTCCTGAATTGAACACGGTTGGCAGTTGTTGGGTAGAGTGACAGCGTAAAGTGTGCCCTTGTTCTTTTCTCTTTGGCTTCAAGTATTATCAGTGAAAAAACATGATAGAAAAGCAATACAAAGTAGATGTGCGCACTTTCGCAATCGTGATCATGTTGAACGTTGTGTATGCTAAAACATGGCGTTCTCAGAAGTTCCACGTGCAGCCGAAACGCTCTTACCACCGCAAGGACCCCCAGTGAGAACAACCCGATGAATCTTGCCACGCTGCCAAAGATCGTCCTCCAACCTCGCAAAAGCACAGCTAATTATACAAAGCTGCAGCTGTCAGCCACAGAACTCAATGAACATCAATGAACGTGATACAAGGCAATGGGGCCGACAAGACGTGAAAACAAGGTGGGAAGTAACTTGAAGGCTATTTCGGGTTCAATTTCCCACTGTGGTGGTTGCGTGTGTTTAGCTAATCTTCACAGGAAAACCCTCTAGGTAGAGTATGGGTGACCATGGTCATCCACGGTCTGTTCACTCGAAAGACGCTCATAGGATCACAATGGATCACACATATACGATATATATATATAATGATATATAGATATAGATATAGATATATACTATAGGATAGGATAATATAGGTATAGTGCACAAAGCACTGCAATAGCCATGTCTGCCACCATGAAGCATTCTCAGCTTTCGGACAACCTCAAAGTCCTCGTCCAAACCACGCTGACATGCCTGAATTCTTTCTGAAATTCAACTACACATTGGTAACAACAGAACCATCATACATACCATATCAAACCACATCATACCACATCAAAACGTATTTTTCTACATTCTGTCAGCTTTTGTCCCATATCATCCCAACATTCTATCTGGTAGTCTTGTTGTCTGGTATTGTAATATATTGTAATTAGGTATTGTAATTATGTAATTGGATTGCAATTCGAAGGGGCTTGCAGGCTTGTGTGACCCCGCGAGCGAGTTGGGCAAATATCGGTCACGTCCATGCCTGTGAGACATCAAACATCATGAAACAAAATGACCCGAAGCTATCAGCTGAACATGCAGGACAAACATCGACAAATTCATCGCGCAATTCTGATAAAACAAAGATCGCATTCAACTGCATGCCGTGAAGCTCACCAATTCTATACAACAAGGCCGGACGGATAAAGGTCTCTAGTCTAGAGTCTAGAGGGACGGAGGACTCTCTCTCTCTCTCTCGCTCTCTCTTTCTCTAGATGTCTTCGGTGCCAATCATTGTGATAGCTGATCTGTCTCAAATCTATTCAAATCTATCAATCCAAGGTAGCTTAAAACTGCTCCTTCTGATTTCCTTTTGAACAAGTGTACACCTGTGGGCTACAAACACTGAGACAGACTTGTCTGAGCTTGCCGAGCTGCTGTTCGTATTAAGCGCTCCAGCTGCACTTCCTTTCAACTGGTCTTTCCGACTTTCCCAATCAGATCTGGACATAGGATCAGAGGAAAGATTTTTATCCAGCTTTACATATTTTTACGCAAGCTTTTTCAAAATTTACTCAGTTGCATTGGTTGCATCGGGAATCTGTCCCTTCTTCGAGACCTTGACTGACCTTCTGTGATAAGAGAGGACCTGCGCTTGGCTACGCTTGGCTATGCTTCAATGGAATCTGAGGGCATCTGAGAGCATATCCACAGGAGGAGAGGTGATCTCTTGTGCTTTCACAGCTTCATTCCTCAAAAGCACGAGAAGCAATTGGGAAACAAAGAGCCCAAACAGATCCCCTTGGCTGTGGCACACTTCGGATGTGAATTATTCAGATCCACCTGAATCCATCTGCGCTCCACATTCTTGCATGCAGCTGGCAAATGCCAGCTGGTGAATCCATCCAGGTGCAAACAAATGAACAAAGCGGTTTGAAAAGTCATCACGTGCTGACAAAAGTTTAGCTACGAACCAGTACAGTACCAGCCACGACCTTCCAGCAAAACACTTTTAGCCCTTGTGGTCATTCGAGACAATTTCCATTTTGTGGGGCATTTCTGTTTCGAGCACTTTCCTGAATCCGGCCTATTTTCTCTAGGCTATCCCAGCTCGACTGAGAATATCACGACTTGGTTTTGATGTGACAAGAGTTCGAGCGAAAAATTGTGCAAAAGAGACGACGCTATCTGCAAAAAGGCGACAATTCAAAACTGTAGCATACCTAACCGACAATGGAGAAGGAAGGGGACCTCTCGGACAGTTTTTCTTCAAACGACCGTTTTTTGGCAAATGAGCAGGAATCCACAGCACAAGCAAAAACATTGATATTATACATAAAAAATGGATCATTGATGGCCCCGGAAGTCTGCGTCTAAAGTAGATGCCGAATGGCTTTTGGCCATAGGAGACATCCAGCCGAGACCGTCGCTGCACTCCACCTTGATGAAATCAATGAGTTCGTCGCGTAGGTAAAATGTGCTTTGTGCAAAGGAAGGAAAACAATTCTTTGGCAGCCCGACAACATCCTACAAGGACCATTGGCCTTTTTTCATGAGCCACCAAACCCCCCTACAGGCCTACAGCAGCGTGATGTGACAGGCCATGACGTGCTGATGTGAAGTGTTGCAAAGTGTTGCGATACATGTCAAATACATTCAATTTTGTTTCTGATTCTTCCTGAATATCAAACCAGGCCTTCTTGTCGATAGTTTGGCGCCCAACAAATCGCATGCAGCGAAAGAGCAGCGCCCAAAGGCCGCACTGCGCGTGCAGCACGCTGAAATTGCATTGCACAGTTCCACAGCTGCAGAGGTAAATTTGCATGTTCTCAGACGTTCACGCAAGAGTTGCTTTTTACTACAGTTGATTTGGATTGAAATGCTTCAATTCAAGGTGTTGGACACTGCCAGGTTCAGCAATTTCAAGCAAACAGGTCTTGAAACAATGCATCCGCTAATTGCAATTGTTGTTACTATTGTTCTTGTCACGTATGCAGGCTTATACAACAGATCTGTGTTGCCTCGATGGTCTCAAAGTAGGCTTGTTTCAAGGCATCGGAAGATATGTGAAGTAGACCTTGTCTAGGAGATCATGTGTGTTGCTTGTTGGCTCTCTGCCCTGATTGTCCCGAATTTGAGCCCTCTGGAGCCGTTGACGAACCAAAAAGCTACCTTGCCTTAGACTGGGCAGCTGAGATCTAAAGCTGAAGCGACAAGATTCGACAAATGTATGAAATTGAACCTGCTGTTTCTTCACTCTGTGGCCCTGGCAAAGCGACCTACTTTGGATTGCTTCAGCCTCATCAGCAGGCCCAAGCAATCACTTCTCACAGACTCTCAACACACCCATATATAATTATATATATATAATATGTTCATATATATAATATGCAATTATATGTAAAATATATAAATAATAATGTGTATATATACATATATATCTAATATTAAATATAAATAAATATAACTATAAAGAATTATAAATAATTATATATAAATACTGTATTCAAATTAAGTTATATATATTATATTAAATTCGGTTATATTATATTATAATGATATCATATTATATAATATTGTATTACATTGAATTATCTTATATTATGTGATATTATATGGTTGTTGATCTACATTCTTTTATCTGCAAATTTATGGTTTCGTACTTTTTCTGTATATTCTGACTAGGAAGTGCACATTATTGCTTTCAAAAAGGATGAACGGATACTCAGGTCAGAAAGCACATGTCTTGAAGGAAACCATACGTTGTATATAAAATGTCTTTGCAGCAACCAAGTAAACCCCCAGGCCCCAAATTTCAATGTTGCACAAAGCTCTACAGGGCATTCTTCAAACAAATGCAGCATTCCTTCAAAGAAGATACTATGCCTTTAAAACATGTAATTTCGTTTAAGAGAAAATGCCCGTTTCTCTTGAAGAAGTACATAATTGACATGAGTAATCTTGTTCAACAAACACCTTCATTCAAAGAGTGCCACATTCCTTGAAAAGAAGTGCGTTCCTTTTCAATAGGTAGCATTGCTTCAAAGAAAGTAACTTTTTTTGGAATGGACATTGTTAATCCGCAAAGGGAGCATTTGTTTTTTTGCATAAACAAACATGGTTCGTATCTTTTCATATTTAGTATGCACTATGACTATCGAAAACCTTTGCGCGCTGACTTTAGAAACATATGTACAAGCAGCAGTACTTGCACCCGTGTGTTGCAGTATTTTCTTTCAAACATCCAGGATAGTTGTTTCAAGCAAATATAGATTACTCAGGACACAAGATTTATCATTTTCAAACATGCAACATGATTGCAAAGGGTGTAGCTTTCCCTTAATAAGAGGCGTAGCGGGGTTTATGGATATGGGGTAAAACTATTTGAGTAAAAAACAGGAACCACAAAATGGATCTAGTACCAAGGCTCAAGATTAAGAAAACATATTGAACCTAAGGGCTTGGATTCAACATTCAGGAATTTGGCACAAAAATGCACGAGGAGGAACCTGATAGCAGCTAAGCGTTTGTACGCGTGCAAACCCAAATAAAAGAATCTTTTCTTGAGGGTTCTTGGTGGGAAACTTTGATTTTTGATGCTTGGACTCTTTTCATGAGAAGCAGGCCCCTGTTCAGGGCAATTCGGGAGACTAAATGACACAAAATGCCCCTCTTTGGGGAGATCTCCGCCTTTTTGGGAGACTAATTACATTTTCCAGCCTAATCAACCCAAACTTTTCCTACTTTAAGACTGTACTCCTCGAGAAAAATTATCTGACCCTGCAAAACGCCAGGGAATCACTCGTCCAGAAAACCTGTGCTCCTGCTAGTAGGTTCGGGTCTGTTTGGCCCTGTAGAACATGAACATGTTTTCTATGGGTTGAGCCATACCATTAATATTCGGGCAGAAATTTGATATAACTTATTTGCTTATATTTATTCCCGAGAGCGTCTGAGCGAAGGGTTCTTCTAATAGTGGGGGTCTGTCAAACATTTTCACATCTTCACATCACATCTTCAAATCTTCACATCTTCTAATCCTCACATCTTCACATCTTCACATCCTCACATCTTCACATCTTCTCATCTTCACATCTGCTCATCTTCACATCTTCTCGTCTTCACATCTTCTCATCTTCACATCCTCACATCGTCACATTCTCACATCTTCACATCCTCACATCTTCACATCCTCACATCCTCACATCCTCACGTCTTCACATCCTCACATCTTCACATCTTCTCATCTTCACATCTTCTCATCTCCACGTCACATCTTCACATCTTCTCGTCTTCACATCTTCTCATCTTCACATCTTCACATCCTCACACCTTCACATCCTCACATCTTCAAATCTTCACATTCTCTCTTGCCCTCTTGCTCTCTTGCCCTCTTCTTTTTCCTTCTTTTCTATTTCTCTCTTAAGGCGCGGGGCAGTGCCAACGAGACGGCACGAAACGCAACCCTTTCGCACGAAACGAGGTTCGATCGTCAAAAGCTGCTGTGAAATTCCGATTTTGAAGTGTCCACGACAACCCTTTCGCAGGAAATGAGGTTCGATCGCCAAAAAATGCGGTCAAATTGCGATTTTGAAGTGTGCCGCGACAACCCTTTCGCACGAAATGAGCTTCGATCGCCAAAAACTGCGGTGAAATTGCGATTTTGAAGTGTGCCGCGACAACCCTTTCGCACGAAATGAGGTTCAATCGCCAAAAACTGCTGTGAAATTGCGATTTTGAAGTGTCCGCGACAACTCTTTCGCACGAAATGAGTTTCGATCGCCAAAAACTGCTGTGAAATTTGCGATTTTGAAGTGTCCGCGACAACTCTTTCGCACGAAATGAGCTTCGATCGCAAAAAACTGCGGTGAAATTCCGATTCTGAAGTGTCCGCGACAACCCTTTCGCACGAAATGGGCTTCGATCGCCAAAAACTGCGGTGAAATTTGCGATTTTCACTGTGCCGCGACAACCCTTTCGCAGGAAACGAGGTTCGATCGCCAAAAAATGCGGTCAAATTGCGATTTTGAAGTGTGCCGCGACAACCCTTTCGCACGAAATGAGGTTCGATCGCCAAAAACTGCGGTGAAATTGCGATTTTGAAGTGTGCCGCGACAACCCTTTCACACGAAATGAGCTTCAATCGCCAAAAACTGCTGTGAAATTGCGATTTTGAAGTGTCCGCGACAACTCTTTTGCACGAAATGAGCTTCAATCGCCAAAAACTGCAGTGAAATTGCCATTTTCAACGGGCCCGGCGCAACCTTTTAGCACGAAATGAGGTTTGATCGTCAAAAACTTGGGTAAAATTGTACTTCTGTGTGTAGAAAGTGTCTGTGTGTAAAAGCATCTGTGTGAAAAAGCGTCTGTGTGTAAAAGCTTCTGTGTGTAAAAGCGTCTGTGTGTACATGCTTCTGTGTGTAAAAGCGTCTGTGTGTACAGGCTTCTGTGTGTAAAAGCGTCTGTGTGTAAAAGCGTCTGTGTGTAACAGTGTCTGAGTGTAAAAGCTTCTGTGTGTAAAAGCTTCTGTGTAAGGCGTCTGTGTGTAAAGCATCTGTGTGTAAATGCTTCTGTGTGTAAAAGCGTCTGTGTGTAAAAGTCCCTGTGTGTAAAAAGCTTCTGTGTGTAAAAGCGTCTGTGTGTAAAAGTGTCTGTGTGTAAAAGCGTCTGTGTGTAAAAGCCCCTGTGTGTAAAAGCTCCTGTGTGTAAAAGCTTCTGTGTGCAAAAGCGTCTGTGTGTAAATGCTTCTGTGTGTAAAAGGTTCTGTGCGTAAAAGGTTCTGTGTGTAACAGCTTCTGTGCGTAAAAGCGTCTGGAGGTAATACCTTGTGTGTGTAATAACTTGTGTGTGTGTAAAAGCTTCTGTGTGCAAAAGCTTCTGTGTGTAGAATCTTCTGTGGGTAAAAGTGTCTGTGTGTAAAAGCGTCTGTGTGTAAAAGTGTCTGAGTGTAAAATCTTCTGCGTGTAAAAGCTTCTGTGTGTAAAAGCTTCTGTGTGTAAAAGCGTCTGTGTGTAATAACTTGTGTGTGTGTGTAAAAGTGTCTGTGTGTAAAAGCCTCTGTGTGTAAAAGCTTCTGTGTGCAAGCTTCTGCGTGTAATAACTTCTGTGTGTAAAAGCTTCTGTGTAAAAGCGTCTGTGTGTAATAACTTGTGTGTGTGTGTAAAAGTGTCTGTGTGTAAAAGCCTCTGTGTGTAAAAGCGTCTGTGTGTAAAAGCGTCTGTGTGTAACAGTGTCTGAGTGTAAAAGCTTCTGTGTGTAAAAGCTTCTGTGTGTAAAAGTGTCTGTGCGTAAAAGCGTCTGTGTGTAATAACTTGTGTGTGTGTGTAAAAGTGTCTGTGTGTAAAAGCCTCTGTGTGTAAAAGCTTCTGTGTGTAAAAGCTTCTGCGTGCAAAAGCTTCTGTGTGTAAAAGCTTCTGTGTGTAAAAGCGTCTGTGTGTAAAAGCTTCTGTGTCTAAAGCTTTTGTGTGTCAAAGCTTCTGTGTGTAAAAGCTCCTGTGTGTACAGGCTTCTGTGTGTAAAAGCTTCTGTGTGTAAAAGCTGCTGTGTGTGTGTGGAACGTCCAAACAGACGTAAAACTTTGCGAATTCATCATATTATAATGCCAAGTCAGGATTAATTAACCCCTCCAGATTAACCAACCACCACTGCCCAATTTTTTTGGTAATTTAAAAACAGGTGGTCCCCCGAGATTAATAAATAGTTTGGCCTACCGCCGATTAAAAAACCACCAGTGCTGAAATCCATTTTTTTATCCAAAAAATTCAAATGGTTCCCTTATGGTTTCCTTATG